TATATAGAGGGGCAGACATGAGAGAAAGGGTGTATAAGAGACGTCAACATCCTAATTCTTAGCGAATGTTTCGGCCCTTTCCGGACATTCGCTAACCTATGGTTACTATAACATAGCCATTGGTGGGCCTCATCAGCAGATGGCCAACGGATATTATAGTACCATAGACAGATCTTAAACTATGCTTAAAATATAGAAATAAGGTTGTTATAATGACAAAAAGTAGAATATGCTACGTCGGTCTAGAAGTGAGGAAGAGGAAAGTCGTCGTTGAGAAATGTTAGTACAACTATGTGGGTAACCGTTAGACTTAAGGTTTCCTTAAAATGAGAGTGCTCATAAGAGATTAGAACGAAGAGCAAAAGGAATACGGTACCTAACCTATTGTTATAAAATTAATAAGTATTAAAAAGTAAAAGTAGTAAGAGAATACGCTAACCTCTGAGATGGGTACGCCAGTAGTATTTGTATTGTCCATAGTATTGAAGATATCCGTCGTTAAAATTCAGTGATCAAATTAGAGAGAGACGCTGGATGCAGCAGATAGTAATTCAGAAACGCGAACGGAATTTAGTATATACCAAACAGGAAAGTTGAAGATGTAAAAGTTACAAGTTATGTAACTGTGTGCTATATATAAAGAGATATTCTCTAATTAACAGAATTTTATACCTACGAAGAAGTGGCATACGTGTAAAAGGATCTAAGTAAAATTTAAGGTGTGAGTGGTTAGAGGGTACAAACAAGGAATGCCGATTATAGATAAAGGTTTTCCGAAGAAAAGTGATAAATATATATTGCTAAATTAAATCTGGTTACAGCCCTTATCGCTAACAGATAAAGGGTGTTGTAATCAAATGACGGTTATAATATGTGTAATTGTATGCTAAATATAAAGAGATATGCATTTCAAAGACCGTACCTAATTCTTTTCTTTGGAGGTTTGGAAGACCGGGTAGTGTATTAAACCATATTCGACTAACATTTTTTGGGATATTTAAGAAATGTATGCTTTTCTTGACTTTGAAATGCAAAAATAAAGGATTTCTTCTTAGACTCTGAAAAAAATGACTCATTGTCGTAATCCATTTTCTAAATGGTTAGGGCACCTAATTTGGAAGTAATAAATTCAATCGCTTCATGAAATTTTGTCTTAAATTGGTCTTTTTCGCATTCGTGACATTTGCGTGCAATTGAATTTCCATACTGTCCACTTGCTAAAATACTAACCTGGGCTATTTTCAGAGAAGTTATTTTCAACCTCAAATTAAGAGATTTTTTAAAATTTTTGAAGGGGTTTGTAGTGTCCGGTTGAGAGACAACCAATACTTCTTAAAATCTGCATGCCGTGCTCATTCCTGATCTTAAAGTCAAAAATTACAAAACTTCAACAGGTTTTGACAAAAACTTCACAAACCATTCAATGACTGTTCCAAATAATAAGTTTTGAGAAGACTATAACTTTGCGTTTTACAACCCTAAAATTAACATGAAAATATAATTAAAAAGGGATAGGAGAGACCAGGAAAGCAAAGCGCGATTGGAGAATTTAAAAAAATGAGAAATTTTACCGTCATTCGGTAACGAGTTTTTGAATACTTGAAAAGTTGTTTTTAAAAACGATTGCCTGTTTCAAAAATGTTCTGCAATTTTTGATTTTTTGACTTCAAGACCAAAAACTGCGCAGCATTGAGTATTCGAAAAGTACTGGGTAATTCTAAATTACAAATTATTAGATCGTCCGGAAATCTGGGAATTTCGGAGATTGAGTTTCAGCAAAGATCTTTTAGAGAAAATTCAAACTGATGTTTCAACAAGTAGAGAACTACTGATCATCAGCATAGAAAAGCATTACACAGCAATGTCAAATCCGTTAAAATGCAAGCGGCCCAGACCAAAATTTCACGAAGCAAAGAAACTTAGCCCTAATGAAGCAGCTTTTCTATGCAATTACAAGATTCTTCATGGAAATAAATTGGTTTTGTGGAGTACAAGTAAACATCCCTGCTTTCATTTTTTTTCTTTCTAAGATTTCAAAATAACATTCTATAATGACTCTGAGATAAATCCGGTTATTTTACCCAACACTCTAAGTATCTAAAAAAAAGTTTATTTAGACACAGGGAATAAAATTCGGAGTTTCAAAAGCATCTGGCTAGGCTTAAATTTTTCCTCCATGAGAACATAGGTGCAAATAAAGAATAACCGAGTACACCAGTGCTGTATATTAGTTGAAGTCTGATAACACAAACCCCCTCAAAGTTTCAGCTATGAACTTAACCGTTGCTTCTGCAACAAGAAAGCTTATTGGCAAAATTTCACAATGGTAATGAATTCCACTTAAGTCACTTGTCATTGAGAAGCTCTAAATTTTCTGCACTAAACGGCTTCCAATGTTGGCTGGAGCTTAGCAGATCACGATCCGGTATTGGTGCACGGATTAAGGAAATCATGAATGCTGGCTTTGTAACCTTTTTGTACAACGCCCATCTTCAAAAACGCCGTACTTTTCAGGGAACCAGAAGCGTTGTTTGATGACCTTTTTTTCTGTCTATGTTTTTCTACTGATTCGCTATTCAGTAAGAAATTTATTGGTAAGGTGAAATGAAAAAATTTTTCTTAGCGTAAAAGGTATAAAACCTTTGAAAAGTGGACAGCAATAAAGACTGGTAGTTGGTGGCTGTTCGAAAAGTATATATGCATTTGTTATGCGGAACTGGATCGAGTGATTAAGCTGTTCTTTGAGATTGGAAATAAAAAAGAGTGACTGGATCAACTGATGAATTTTAATGAAATATAGAATTCCTGTAAGCCAGTAATTAAAGATACATAGCTTGAGGAACCAGATGGATAGCCTAATTTTTTAAAAAGGCTGGAGATTCAGAAAAGAAATATATTTTTACTGATATTTTAATTTCTAGAGCACATTGGAA